GTGGACATTTTTATCATCTATAACTTGGGAACCATAAGTCCCAAGAACTTGAAATTTTGTGTGCAGGCATATCTACGGTAGGCGCTTTAAGTAAGGCATATATAACTGAGTGGAACATCCCATAGGCGTGGAAAATTCGAAATCATATGTCACGTGAAATTGTAGTAGGTGCTTATAGTAGGCTATATATAAGTGAGTTTGTAAAAGGGGGAGCGGCACGTCCCATGGACCTGGAATGTTTTATCAGCTATAACTCCGGAGCTATAAGTCGCTTGAACTTGAAATTTCGTACGCAGCTATTTTAATGGTAGGTACTTATATTAGGGTATATATAAATGAGTTTGGAAAAGAGTGCATGGCACATCCACTAGGAATGGAATTTTTTTATCAGCTATAACTTCGGAACTATAAGTCCCACGAGCTTGAAATTTAGTATGCAGATATATCGATGGTAGGTGCTTATATATAAATGGGTTTGTAAAAGGGGCGTGGCACATCCCATAGGCGTGGAAAATTTTATCAGCTATAATTACAAAACCATAAGTCAAATAAAATTGAAATTTGGTACGCAAACGTATCTATGGTAGGTGCTTATAGTAGGGTATATTAATATATCAATACCCCGTGTCACTGTGTTCGTTTACGCTAATCTCCGAAACCGCTTAATAATTAATAATGAAATTTTGTGGGTGTATATTGTTGGTTCCAACTTAAAAGATAGGATAGTTGAAATAGAAACAAATATTTTTTTTCATCGGAGTTTTTTCTATGCTTCTCGCATCGTGCTTATCTAATATACATATAAAAATTGAACTTCCTAAACGGCTCGACCGATCTTTATGAAATTTTTTTGTGTTATATATGGTAGGTATGAAAATCGGATGTAAAGTATATTTCATACCGCTAGGTGCAGGGGGCGTGGCACCTCCCATACAAACCAAATTTTTCATATTGCACATCTCTGGAAGTGTTCATGGTAGACTACTCGAATATGGTATGGAGATATATGAAAGCATTTGCATATTCATGGATAAAAATTGCGGTTATTGGAAAAAGTTACGTGGAACCGAACCGAATTTTTCATACTGCATATCCCGGAAAATCTTCATGGAAGAGGTCTCGATCTTGGTATGGAGATATATGAAAGCAATCGCATACTCATGGAGATAAATTGTGGTTATCGGAAAAGGACGCGTGGCACTTCCCATACACGTCGAATTTTACATACTGCATATCTCTGAATGTGTTCAGAGTACTGGAACTTGTTATGTACAAGATATATAAAACGCGACTGGTCATGAAGAAAAGTTGGGGCTATTGGAAAAGGGACGCGGCACCTCCCATGGTAAATTACAGGAAAATGTTATAAAGATATATGAAATCAATCCCATGCTCTTAGAGAAAATTGGGGTTATTTGAAAAGGGGACTTTGCGCCTTTCAAACGCACTGAAACTATAACGTATCTTTGTATGCATGTACAGTTTTGCTAAGTTATTTCAGACGGCAAATATGCCTTCTGACAACCACCAAACCGTAATATTAGAAGACAAATGCGTCACTAAAAATCATGAACGTGCACTCTTGGTGAAAATGTTGGACCAAAATGTTTCAATGCACGGTTAAAAATTTTGGTTTTTACTTTAAACTTTTTGGACTACATATATGACCAAACTACATAAATTCAGTTTCAAATACAAACCTTCTAAATTTAAAATAAATAACAATATAGTTTAAAAAACGAAAACCTCTCTATTATAATTGCCGTACGTATTGTCATCAGGTATGTAACTTGAGAATAGAAATCGCTGCATCTTTTAGGCGCATCAATATTACATAGTTACATTCCGAGCTAATAAAAGGAAGGTAATAAAAAGGGGGCACATATGTTGGGTTTAGAATTTAAACAGTTCGGATTAAATTTTAAACCCAAACATTTTCATAACTAAGAATAAAAAATAAAAATAAAATTTCATGCTCCGTCTGATGGGGATTTACACGGACAGCAGCGTTGCCAGGTCGACGTTTTTAACGCCATTTGGACGTTTTTTGTATCCTGTTGACGTTTGGACGTTTTTTAGTCTTGTAAGTAAAACTGATTTTGAATTATTTTCTTAATAAATCTTTACAAGCTTTGTGTTTTGCAGCAACTGCTTCAAAAGATATTTATTCTTTGGACACAGATGACTTAAATATGATGCATACCAAGCGTACGCGCATTTTTTTTTTGTTGATTCTTGGACTGTGTTCAAAGGCTGGTTGTGTAAATACTTGAGGTTACGAGGCTTATTGTAAAGGCGCTGGCCCAATGCAGGCTTGCTTTGCGTGCCTTGCTGACTTTAGTTTGCTTTGATTTAGTTTAAAAACTTGTTTGGCTGAATGGCGGCTTGAAACGCTGGCAAAGTAACCAGCTGTCTAGTTGAAAAGTCAATATCTGTTCCCTTAACATTAATTATTGTTTTCCTATAAAACTCTAGAAGATGTATCAAAAACTTTCAGATTTATTTTAAAATTAATCCGAAATAATGTTTGTATTTAAAAGAACTGGTAGTAATGACACGTATATCTACAGTTACTAAAAAACTATAACTTAAAAAAGCGATTTACTTGAAGAAAAGAGCTATAAGAAGTTTTTTCCTCTCGTGTAAATTTTGTAAAAGTGAGCTTTGCAATTTTTTATTATAGTATAACGATATGTTAAATTTGATTTCGAATTGCTTTTTTTTAAATTAAGTAAGCAAATTTTTGTTTGAATTTATGTATTTTGAACAGGAACATGCCTCTTTGTCAAAAGCCTACAAAACGCTTTCAAATAAAACATTTGTCTATTTAAAACTTTGAGGCGCTTAAAGCAAGTGAAGAAAAGCTGCCATTTGGCCGGCCTTTATACATTTTAATGTGTTCCAAATAATTTTTGACACTTCTCGGAGCGAAGCAAGCAAAGCAATTGGGCCAGTACCTTAAAGTTTGCAATTGCACATTAAAAGCCAAATCAGGAAGAGCTGTTCTATTGCAACACGCACGCTCGCAAAAGCGTCAAAAAAGCTGTAGCAGCAGAAAAAGTCAGAAAACAGTAGGCGACTTTTTTAAGACTTCATTGAAAATGTAATGAACGCAAAAAAGGCTGAAATATTGCTATGCTCCTTCTTAACAGAACGTAATTTAGCATTTTCGACAGCCGACCCCCTTACCAAATGTCTACAAGAAAAAAAAAAATATTCAAAATTGCACATTATTGCCCTGAAATTTAATGGGCTATCAAACTGCATACTCAAAAAAATTCTAAAAAATCTAAATAAAAAGTTGAAAATCTAGCTGAAGCTTTGCAGATTTTTTATAATTTTTGCACAAAGTTTGAAATGTGGATTTATATTTTGTTTTTTATATAATGAGCTTTTATGGAAAAATAATAAACATTAAATAAACAAAAGAGAAACAGCCGAAATCGATCAAAATGGTGATGACTTAATCAGTTGTATGTATAAAATGATTTTTATATTAACGATCTCAAACCAGTGTACAATGAATTTTAAATGTGCAATGATATTTTAATATACCTTACGTACACATGTATACAATAAAAGTTTAATAGGAACAATTTTTTGTACATTCATTTGAATAAGGCGTTTTTGGGTAGGAAATGACTTTTTTCAGACCAAGAGAGACGTTTTCTCATGCCGAAGACCTGGCAACACTGCCGGACAGCCTTAGTAGCAACCAATTGTATCAAGCAGCTTTGCACACTCAGTTACAGCCACGCATGTAAATATGCTTTCATATGTTGAGTTTGAATCAACACCACATTTCGCTGTGTGCAAACACTTTTATTTCGGTTTAGATTTTAAACCAAATTTTCTATATATGAAACCTAGAAACTAGAATTAAAACATTTTGGTTTGATTTTTAAACTACGAACTTTTTGGACTAAAATTTAAACCACAATATATTAAAAATTGCTTAAAATTATTGACTGGTTTAAAAAGTAGACTATAAAAGATCAAAAAGGCAGTAGTCCCAGCGCGGTTTAAAAATTAAACCCAAATTTTTGGCCGTGTACAAAAAATTTATTTTAGGTGGGACGAAGTTCGCCGGGTCTGCTAGTATATATATATATATATATACATATACAATAATTGCTCGTTTAATGTAATAAGATATTTACAACGTGGTTGTTCACGCTGATTAGGTATTTCATTGATTCTTATAAAGAAGTTGGAAACTGTGTACACTGAGGGAAATAATGCATAGTAAAAATGAATACTTTATATTTGATTGTCGTTTAAAAATGTTCGTATTTAAAAATAATATTTTCATACAAAATTTATTACGCACGTATTTGACTGTTCACATCTGAGTATGTATATGTAAGTGTACATACGCACCCCAAGCATGCAGAGCGCCGCACTGAGAGCGGTGACGAAACACACATACACACATAGCAAGAATGGTAGAATGAGAGTAGAATTCTCAAGAATTTTTGTCAATCGTGCATACATAGTACATACATATTTATCCGGACAAATCGCGTTCTTTGGTGTTGATGGATATTCAACATTTGAAAGCAAATTTATATGACTGGGTGTAGCTGAGTGCGCAAAGATGCTTGCCACAAGTTGTTGGTATTCGGAGATGGTCGGGTTCGAATTCCGCTGCAGGCAACATGCAAATAAATTTTTTTTTTAGTTTTTTCTTGATTATTCACTTCTCGGATGCTTTTTCAGTACGAACGCGGTCATTTTAATATGCGCGTAATTGAATTGAATATTTACCGATATACAGTACTTTCGTTGACGTTTATAGTAAGATCAATTACGTTTCTATTTGATTTTAATATTTTTTTCCCTCAGTGTACCTATGTACTTATTTAAAAATGTCATTTGGAGTCTGGTAATGTTTACGAAGATATCAACATACATATGCACATAATACGGGAAGCCCGATTTTCTAAAATATGTATTTATATATACATACTTATATATGAATGTAGTTCATTTCTTTTCAGCCTTAAAAGGATTTACTTCTCAAAAATGCAAATAAAAATTGATTTTCTTTGGTTTGTAAAATGTATCTATACGTACTATATAAAGCATAAAAAGATCCATCAAGCTACGTGGCTGTCTCCGGATCGAAAAACGAGAAACCAAATCGATCATGTTGTGATAGACGGAAGGCACGCTTCCAGTGTTTTAGACGTACGCACACTCCGAGGCCCAAACATCGACTTGCATCGACTTGTTGCAGCCAAGATACGCACCCGCCTCTGTGCAGCAAAAAATGTGCGCCCAAATATGCGAAAGCTTAACGTCGAAAAGCAGCAATCACAACAGACAGCCAGTGCTTTCGCTACTCGACTCTCACACCTGCTCTCAGAGAGCACTCTTCAACAAACCGACATATGCGAGCAGTGGAACCACATTTCCCGCTCATTAAGTACCGCCGCCGAAGAAGTAGTGGGATTTCAGCGAGCCCGAAAGAACAACTGGTACGATGAGGAGTGTCAGGAAGCTGCAGAGAAAAAAGATGCCGCCCACAGGGCCACGCTGCGATCGGGCGCAACGCGCGCTATGTGGGTCCGCTATAGGGATCTGAAGAGGGAAGCGAGACGTATTTGCCGCAACAAGAAGAGAGAGGCAGAAATACGTGAGTGCGAAGAGCTTGAAATGCTGGCCGACAGGAGGAATGCCCGAAAATTTTACCAGAGAGTTAGGCGACTTACGGAAGGTTTAAAGACCGGGGCGCACTCCTGTAAGAACAATAATGGCGACCTAGTAACTGATGTTCAGAGCGTACTTAAATTATGGAGGGAACACTTTTCCGCCCTACTAAATGGTAGCAGCACGGAAAGTTGTGGAGAAGAAGAACCCGAGCCCGCAGTCGATGATGACGGAGTCGACGTTCCACCGCCTGACTATAAAGAGGTACGTATAGCAATAACGCGGCTGAAAAACAACAAAGCCGCTGGAGCTGACAGCCTGCCAGCTGAGCTATTCAAGTACGGCGGCGAGGAGTTGATAAGGTGCATGCATCAACTCTTGTGCAGAATATGGACAGATGAACGCATGCCCGACGACTGGAATTTAAGTGTGCTCTGCCCAATCCACAGGAAAGGTGACCCCGCCATTCGCGCCACTCAGCACCTATTTGTCGACTTTAAAGCCGCTTTTGACAGCACTAAAAGGAGTTGCCTATACGCCGCTATGTCTGAATTTGGCATCCCCTCAAAACTCATACGGCTGTGTAAAATGACGTTGAGCAATACCACCAGCTCCGTCAGAATTGGAAAAGACCTCTCCGAGCCGTTCGCCACAAAACGGGGTTTCAGAACAGGGCGACTCCCTTTCATGTGACTTCTTTAATCTGATGTTGGAGAAGATAATAAGAGCTGCAGAACTGAACCGCTCAGGAACAATTTACTACAAGAGCGTGCAATTGCTGGCTTATGCCGATGACATCGACATCATCGGTAACAAAAACCGCGAAGTCTGTTCTGCCTTTTCCAAGTTAGATAGGGAAGCAAAGCGCATGGGTCTGGTGGTAAACGAGGACAAGACGAAGTATCTCCTGTCATCAAACAAACAGTCAGCACATTCGCGCCTTGGCACCCACGTCACTGTTGACAGTTACAATTTCGAGAAAGTAGAGAATTTCGTTTACTTGGAAACCTGCATTAACACCGATAATAATGTCAGCATTGAAATCCAACGTAGAATCACTCTTGCCAACAAGTGCTACTTTGGACTGAGTAGGCAATTCAGGAGTAAAGTCCTCTCTCGACGTACGAAAACCACGCTCTATAAGTCACTCATCATGCCCGTGCTGGTATATGGCGCAGAAGCATGGACAATGACAACATCCGATGAGGCGGCTCTTGGGGTGTTTGAGAGAAAGATTTTGCGGAAGATCTACGGTCCTTTACGCGTTGGCGACGGCGAGTACCGCAGACGATGGAACGATGAGCTGTATGAGCTTTACAACGATATGGACATAGTGCAGCGAATTAAAATACAGCGGCTCCGCTGGCTTGGTCATGTCGTTCGAATGGACACCGACGCTCCAGCTCTGAAAGTATCCAACTCGGAACCCGCTGGTGGTAGCAGAGGAAGAGGGAGGCCCCCACTGCGATGGAAAGATCAGGTGGAGAAGGACTTGGCTTCACTTGGCGTTTCCAATTGGCGTCAGTTAGCACAGAGGAGAAACGACTGGCGTGCTTTGCTGAACTCGGCAAAAATCGCTTAGGCGGTTACAGCGCCAAAAAAGAAGAAAGAAGAACTATATAAAAGAATTTGTGATGACCTGAGTTGTTATTCTAATAAAAAAATTGGTTATTTTTCCTTACATTTGGTAACTTTTTCGTCAAATCTTGGTTAGAAAGTTCTTTGAGCGGCGGCAACACTGATTGGGATAAATGATTTTCTATACAAAATCACTTCGTCATCATTTTGCAAACACGTGCTGAAAGTGAGAGAGAAAAAGTATGTGTGTGTAGGTATTTCGATTTTTGAGCAACAGATGGCGCAATTTTTATAACCTAATCGCAACGTATGTATGTAAATACATATATATCGTCGTTTAAAGTGCAAAACCGCGTATCAACAAAATTCAAAACCGCGTATGTGAAGTTGTAGAAATTATTTTCTAGAGCGTTAAAACACTCATATTTCCAAATGGTTCTCTTTTTTATGAAGCACACACAGACTAAGGGTCGATTTCATAATGAAATTAAAGAATCTTTTCAAATTAAAAGGATGCTTTATTTTGGTGATCGATTTCATAAAGCCACTTTAAAGATAAAGGAAATTTAATTTCGTTTATAATTACATATTTATGACAATCATCTGATGCAATTTTGCCAGATCGGCATTGCAAATTTGGTTAGTTCCATATAATTGAACCCATCCTTATTATTCAATTGCCATTGAATTATGAAAACACTTCTTGTTCAAAGTACATTTAAATGACACTTCACCTAAAAGGAAACTTTTGCAAAAGGAACTTGACGTGTTTCAAAGTGTTCATTCTTTATTACAAAACGAGACCAATATTAAAAATTATTATTATTTTTTATTTTTATTTTGGTATCGATATTTTGAATATCGAGTCTTTTTAAACCGATATTAATGGGTACCGGATATTTTGTAGCGAAACTTTAAATATCGATGCTTTCGGTTCGATATCGTGTCCCTAACCACACGAAGGCGAGAAAATCCAGATTTTAGAGTATTTTCTTGCACTGATTTTAGTAAGGTAATTTTGGCATCTTGTGAAGATATCACGAACTGAAATTCCCGATAAAATATGGAAAAGGGAGACATAATGGGACTAGATGTGGAGACTATCTCGCTGTAGACTTCGAATGCATTATTGTGTAAATATATTCATTCTTCCGCATATACAATGTAGATTCTAGAGCGTTCGGATTAGAGATGGGCACGGACCCTGCGTAAGCCCGCGGGTACGGGCCAGAATATTTGCTTTATTTCAGTAAAATTTCATAAAAGCACGAATAAGCACGAAAAAGCCCATTGCTAATACTACAAATTTAGATAAGCTTTTTTATACAAAAAAAAAGTACATATTTAAAACTCTTTTGATAAAAGAAAAGCAAAAAAAGAAATATTTGGAAACCAATAGAAAAGAATAAGATACTTAGTAGTTTTGTTTACATATCTGCACTTAAAATACCTTCCTCTTTTTCTACTTCCCAGAAAATATATTATAAAAATATTTGATGTAAAAAATTGATTCGCTTAAGTAAATATACGCAGTGTGACCGTTTTGATCCAAGTGGATCAAAACTGATAAATTTTTCGATGAATTTTGGAGCGATACTTTTTTTCAATTTTGATACTTTTCCAAATACTAATAAAAAAAATCTGTAAATTTGTATGCATTACAAAACATGTCGTGCACCTGTGGCCACGTGCATCCAAAAGTTCATTGTCCTTCTCTGAACGAACCTTTCATGTATTGTGATTCATGGTCCATGTCGAAAAACGTCAAAATGTGAACAAACGAACAGTATCATAGCGCTGCATTTTTTTTATTTTCGCTATGTTCAATAAAAAAAAATTAGGGCTTGGTACTCGGTAATTCGGTGCTCGGTAAGGCCCTGTTTCCTCAGGAAAACACCAATGTCGTGATAACCATGTCACAAAATATATTTGCAATGGATACCGCCTTATTGCTTGACATCTATTGCAGGCAATTTGATAGTTTGACAGCCATATTTTCGCTTGATAGAAAGCGTGCTGGTGGTTATATGGATGAAATATTAATATTAAATCAAAATAAGAATCTGTTCCCTATTGGATTATTTATGACAACGTTTTAGGAAGTTATTCAGTAAGTTTGTTTAAGATTTAAATGTTTTTAACACCGGAATTGAGAGAATGTTGTCTGGCGGCGTCATGCGGCAAATGCTTATACATATCTAGACATCAAAGTGCCCACACACAACAGTTGGTAGGCAATAAAAATTGCAAGGTGTAACTTCAACTTGCTCGTGCAACAAATGTTTCATTATTTTGGAAAATGGTTTTTCTTAAAAATTATTGGTTTTATACCATATTTATGCTTTGATTCTTAAATGAAAAAAAGTGATACATATTGATACATTTACTTTTCTCCTACAATTTTTCACAAGCCCGCGGTCACACTGAATATACATACGTACATAAACACAAAATTAAAAATATGTACATATATGTATACATACAATAAAAGTTGACTCTTTATTTCCGGGCTGGGACGTGTCCCGTCGTGCCGTGCCGGGCCGGGCCGTGCCCCACTAAAATTCTTAACGTGCGGGCTCGTGCGTGTTTTCAAAAGTTAATTTTGCACTCGTGCCGCGCCGGGCCTGAAAATTTGTTTCGGATAGAAGCTCATAGAGAGTATTATGATTTCACCGACACAAAGTATGAAAAACTGCTGGGGTACAGGGTGGCTTACGTTAATGCTGGTCTTTGAGACAGTTTTAGTAATGAAGCAGCTATTTTCTGATTACTTTATATTTTATGCACGCACAATCTTTGAGTTGTCAAATTTGACAAAAGTACCTCATTAGGAAAAAGTACAGAATGTGAGGGATAGCACATCAAACAAGAA